CGCTGGAAGTCCGGGGGTGCGCACCCCGCTGCAGCCCCCAGCCAGCCCGACGGGAACCGCACCCGTACCTACCGGCGTCACAGGGTCAAGGGGACCGGAGGCCGCTGAGTGATCCTACCACTCCAGCCCCTAGTGAGGCCTTCGGGGCGACACTGTGAGTCCTGCACTAGGAAGTCCTCCTTACAACTCTGCAACTATCAAAGTTCTGCCCCATGGGTGTGACCGGGCTTGAGGTCAGTTCTGTAAGCCTTGGAAGTGGTGGTGTTGGGGTGCGTGTCCGATGGAGTGTGTAGAAATTCACCCAGCGCCCAGGGCAGGGCCTAGCACCCAGTAGACCCTAAGTAACCCTTTGCGGAATGAATGGGAGCAGGCAGGAGAGGGCTGCTCTGCTTGCTCGCTTCCTCTCACTGCCTCCCTGGGCACTTGCAGACAAAAGTAATTAGGGCGAGCCTTTAATCACCGCTGATTGCACAGGCAGAGGAACAAGGAAGCGCAGGGAACAGGAGACAGACATCCTGGGGACACAGGGTGCTGGCCTGGCTCACGGGCACTGCCTCCGGCCCCCACAGCTTGGCCGTCAATCTGTTTTCTTGTCTCCCTCAGGACACTGGGTTCTCTAGGAGCTGCCCCAGGCTTAATGATTGTCCAGAAGGTGGCTATAAAGAGAGCCTGGGAGTCTAGGTGGAGGAGGGAGCAGAAAAAGCCCAGCTCAGCAGATCTGGGCCCAGAGGGAGCTGCAGGCAGGAGCCGTGGTCAGAGGCGCCCTGTCCTGGCCAGCAGGGCTCGCTGGCTTCCACCATGGCAGCCCAGGGCTATGGCTACTATCGCACTGTGATCTTCTCGGCCATGTTCGGAGGCTACAGCCTGTACTACTTCAACCGCAAGACCTTCTCCTTCGTCATGCCCTCGCTGGTGGAGGAGGTCCCTCTGGACAAGGATGACCTGGGTGAGCCCTCAGAGCAGGTGGTGGGCCAGGGCCATAGGGCCCGCAGGACCAGATGAGTGTGTGTGGCAGTGTGGTGTGTACAGCCCTGTGATGTGTGTGGAGCACCGGCACAGCAGAGGTGAGGGCACAGTCTCCATGTGCCGGACGGAGGCGGAGAGCCACGTACATGGGTGTGGGTGAAGGACTGAGTATGATCCATGCATGTCTGAGGCAGGCTGCTAACCTGAGGTGTCTGTGTGCCTGTGACCCACGTGTACCCCAGAGGCACTGTTCATGCTGAATGTGTTCAGGGGATTTTGCGTCTGGTTGCCCATCTGGCCACGGCGCTGTGAGCAGGGAACTGGGAGTCGGCACCATGGCCTCGTGTGGCCCAGCAGGTTACCTTTCGGGAGGAAGATGGTCCCTGGCTCCATTCTAAAGCCTTCGCCCCATGTTCAAAGGTGGGGCAGCAGAGTGGCCGGAGGCCGGGGGTTGGCACCCAGGGTGAGGGGGAATCAAGCAGATGTGAATCCCAGGGAGGGTGCGCCTGTCCTGCCCCTTCTTGCTTCCAGACAGCTGTCGCTGGAACTCTCCAAGAGGCTGAAAGGTCATGGGTCAGCCGGGGTAGCGCTGACAGGAGGCAGGGGGAGTGGCGGGTCCCCAGCACAGGTCCTCCTCGTGCTCCTGGAATGAAGCTGTCTCACCCTGCCCAGCACCTCTGCCCACCTGACCCCAGCTTCTCCCACCTCTCCTGTGCCTCTGCCCTGCCCCTGACGCCCCAGGGGCCCTGTTCCCTGCCCCTCCCCTGCAGGGCTCATCACCAGCAGCCAGTCGGCAGCCTACGCCATCAGCAAGTTTGTGAGTGGAGTGCTGTCTGACCAGATGAGCGCTCGCTGGCTCTTCTCGTCTGGGCTGCTCCTGGTCGGCCTGGTCAACGTAGCCTTTTCATGGAGCTCCACAGTGTCTGCCTTCGCTGCCCTCTGGTTCCTCAATGGCCTGGCGCAGGGCCTGGGCTGGCCCCCGTGTGGGAAGGTCCTCAGGAAGGTGAGTGTCTCCTTCCAAGGAGCCTGTCTGTTGGCCCTGAGGATCCGAGGAGCCTGGGGACCGGCGCCTCCACCTCCACCCGCGGCGTTTCTCAGGAGTGTCAGTCTGGCTCCTATCGCTTGTCAAGGTATTTTAGGAGCCTGACATGGTGAGATCAGGTGGCAGAGGAGGGAAATGGCCCTGCCAAGTAGAAGCACCCTCTCCCTCATTCCTGTAACGTGAGCTTCTGGGTCTGTCCCACTTGATCCCCTCCTTCTGTGTGGACTGTAGGCTGGGCACCTACTCTGTCCCCCTCTGCCCCACAGTGGTTTGAGCCATCTCAGTTTGGCACTTGGTGGGCCATCCTGTCAACCAGCATGAACCTGGCTGGAGGGCTGGGCCCCATCCTGGCAACCATTCTGGCCCAGAGCTACAGCTGGCGCAGCACGCTGGCCCTGTCGGGGGCGCTGTGTGTGGTTGTCTCCTTCCTCTGTCTCCTGCTCATCCACAATGAACCTGCCGATGTTGGACTCCGCAACCTGGACCCCACCCCCTCCAAGGGCAAAAAGGGTGAGCACCCACCTAGGCCAACCCCTTTTGTCCTAATTTGGCAGACTTTCATTGAGGACTGGCTGTACGCCTGGCCTGTGCTAGCTAATGGTTGTAGGGGTTGGAATGGTGATGGAGAGGTAGGGAGTAGATAAAACTCCATTCTAAACACAATTATCAGACAAATGGCAGAGCCCATGAATGCTAGGATTCATATTATATCCTGACCCTTCCTCACAACAGAGCCAGGCTTCTCTGTCCTGGGCAGCAGCCTAAGCTGAAGTGGCTGGGGTGCTTTCCTCCATCCGCCCTGGTCCTGTGTCGTTCACTGGCTGAGGCTTGCAGTGAGGGGAGGGCAGAGCAGGGGTGAGGGGGCCTCTGCTGGTCCTGGGCTCTGGCTGGACTCTGTCCTGTGGCTGGTTAATGAGTGGTGGGCGCTCCCTGGGGGAGGGCAGCAGAAGCAGAGCCTGAGGCCTGGCCTCCTCCCCCAGGCTCCATGAAGGAGGAGAGTACCTTACAGGAGCTGCTGCTGTCCCCCTACCTGTGGGTGCTCTCCACTGGCTACCTGGTGGTGTTTGGAGTCAAGACTTGCTGCACTGACTGGGGCCAGTTCTTCCTTATCCAGGAGAAAGGACAGTCAGCCCTTGTGGGTAAGAGGAGTGTTGGGACAGTGGTGGGCATAGAGCAGAAACCAATGCAGGGGGTGGGCAATGCAGGCCTGGCTGCCCTTCACCTCCTTTTCTTCTTTCCCTGAGGCTGGGCACTATGCAGGCAGCTGTGACCAGTCACCCTTGGGGACCCTCTGGGACAACCCCAATGTGCAACACCCACCCTTTCCCTCTCCCCACAACCCCGCTGCAGGTAGCTCCTACATGAGTGCCCTGGAGGTCGGGGGCCTTGTAGGCAGCATTGCCGCTGGCTACCTGTCGGACCGGGCCATGGCGAAGGTGAGTGGGCAGAAGGGACAGGAGGAGGATCCCTCTAAATCTTCCCAGCCAGAGCCTTAGCTGGTTTGGCTCAGTGGATAGAGCAGTGGCCTGTGGACTCAAGGGCCCTGGGTTCAATTCCGGTCAAGGGCACATGCCCAGGTTGCAGGCTCGATCCCCAGTAGGGGGCGTGCCGGACGCAGCCAATCACTGACTCTCTCTCATCATTGATGTTTCTGTCTCTCCCTTCCTCTCTGAAATCAATATATATAATCTTCCCAGCCAGAATGGGACAGGCACCAGAGGTGGGAGCCCTGGGCACAGGCAGGTTGGCATGTGCTGGTTTAGGCCGATGTGGAAATCAGGTCCATGGGGAAAGGGTTTTTAAAAATATATATATTTGCCCTGACCGGTTTGGCTCAGTGGATAGAGCGTCGGCCTGTGGACTGAAAGGTCCCAGGTTCGATTCCGGTCAAGGGCATGTACCTTGGTTGCAGGCACATCCCCAGTGGGGAGTGTGCAGGAGGCAGCTGATCGATGTTTCTCTCTCATCGATGTTTCTAACTCTCTATCCTTCTCCTTTCCCTCTCCCTTCTTCTCTGTAAAAAAAAAAAAATCAATAAAATATATTTTAAAATAAAAAAATATGTATTTTTTTATTTCAGAGAGGATTGGAGAGGGAGAACTAGAAACATCAATGATGAGAATCACTGACTGGCTGCCTCCTGCACTCCCCCTACTGGGGATCAAGCCCACAACTCAGGCATGTGCCCTGACTAGGAACTGAACCGTGACCTCCTGGTTCATAGGTCTATGCTCAACCACTGAGCCACACCAGCCAGATGGAAAGGGTTTTAACTTATGTCAAAGTGAGTCAGAATTTCTCTCAGCCTAGCAGTGAGCTTCTCACAGCCCCAACAATGGGCTGGGGAGGGTGGTGCCATTTGCCAGCACATGTCCCGAGCTGGCCTGAGTGGAGGAAGGGACTTGTGGAGTTTGGCCTCAGAACGGCAGAGGTCCCAGTGAAGGGATTGCTAAAGACCTGTCAGCAGAGGCCTGTGTCAGAGTCCAGGGTCTGGGGCCTGACGTTGCTGGGACTGTCTCCACAGGCAGGGCCGTCCACCCATGGGAACCCTCGCCATGGCCTGCTGCTGTTGATGATGGCGGGCATGACAGTGTCCATGTACCTCTTCCGGGTAACCGTGACCAGTGACTCCCCCAAGGTAAGTAAGGGGCTGGGCCAGGGCAGGCACGGAATGAGGAGGAAGCAAGGGCCACGGACTCGCTCTCCTCTGGCTCCGTTTCCCTTTCTGGTTCTGTTTGTGCCTCAGCTCCTCTCCTCTGCACTTTGGTGCCCTCCCTCCTGACTCTGCTCTGGTTTTCTCCTCCTCCCTCTGCTCCTCAGGATGTCCCTTTCTGGACTCTGGCTCTTCACCCTCTCGCTGAGCTCACAGGCTTTAAGGAGCACGAGGTGCCTTATCTTTCTGTTTCTCACCTTTGTCCTACCCACTCTGCCTTGCCCAGCCAGTCCAGCTCGCAGGAGCCAGCGTCTCATTCAGAGGCATGGCTCCTGTACCTCCTTCACCCACCCACCCGGCCCCAGGGCCACTCAGCGTGGCAGCCACTCCTCTGGCTCTGCACTGTCAGTTGTGTTGGGAGTGGGGTGAGGGGTCCCCGCCTCCTCTCTGGTGAGGAAGGTGGGCGTGCCCAGCCTCTCAATGCTGCCCTGCACTCCCTCACAGCTCTGGATCCTGGTGTTGGGAGCTCTGTTTGGTTTCTCCTCTTATGGTCCCATTGCCTTGTTTGGAGTCATTGCCAATGAGAGTGCTCCTCCCAACTTGTGTGGCACCTCCCATGCCATTGTGGGACTCATGGCCAATGGTAAGCGATACCCTCTAGTTTCTACCTCACCCCCACATGGGCCAGTTAGAGGCTGGGGGCGCCCCACTGACTCGTTTCACAAATGACTGCTCTTCCCTCCTCCTCCCTGGCAGTGGGTGGCTTTCTGGCCGGGTTGCCCTTCAGCACCATTGCCAAGCACTACAGCTGGAGCACAGCCTTCTGGGTGGCGGAAGTGATCTGCACAGCCAGCACAGCTGCCTTCTTCGTCCTGCGAAACATCCGCACCAAGATGGGCCGAGTGCCCAAGAAGGCCGAGTGAGAGGGCAGGTTCCAGAGCACCCTCTCGCACCTGGCTCTTCGCCCCACAGGCTGGGAGGGGAGGGGCCTGCTCTGGCCGGCACTGCACCTCTGACTTCCTTCTGCTCCTTTCCCCTGGCCCAGGTGGCACTGGAAATGATCAATGGCTAATGAGATTCCAGCTCCCTGTCCTATGCTCTATTTAAAAGATAACCTTTGTTCTAGGACTCCATTAGCTTCTATTTTCTGCCTTCAAACAGGAAATGCCTACAGCCAGGGAGTCTCCTACACTCTTCTCTCCTGGGCCCTGCCTTGCCCCCATCCCATCCCGTCCGTCCCCACCAGGGGTGAGGCTCTCCTGTACCTGCAGGCCACCATGGCCCTGCCTTCTACCCTAAGGCCTCTCAGCGGGGTAACTGCTACTGCCAGCTCCTCAGGGTCCAGGGGAAGAGAGACCCTCACTCTCACCATTATTCTGGGACCCCCCCCCCCGCCGCCCCCGTATGGGTGGGAGGGTAGGAAGAGTTGTTATAGGTTTAGCCAATGACCCAGGTCCAAAAGATTAAAGCTAGATTTGATACTAAACACTGACAGTGAGTCCGTCCTCCTTTCAAAAGGAGTATGTAAACCAGGCAGCTTTCTCTGGAAATACCCTTCTGGGGCCTGCTCTTTCCACCCTAAAAGTGAGACCTAATTCCCTGGAATGGGGAAGCGGACACGGACTCCTGTGAGTTTATGTCTCCTTCGCCTCAGTTTAACTTTGTATATTTAATTCTGCGACCACTTCAGAGGTGGAGCTACTGGGTTTCACGCAGATTAGAGAAGTGAGTGGAGGGAGGCAGTGGCTGAGTGCAGTCAGAAAGCCTCAGCTGTCGGTAACTGGCTCTGAGACTCCCGCACAGAGCACCTGCTGAACCGCTGGTCTGTAACAGAGCCGAGCCCCTGTGGCCTGAGTGAGGATTAAATGAGATAAAGCAGCAATGCAGTAAAGCCTGGCTGTAAACACTTGAAAATGTTCCATCATCATCATCACCACTATCATCACCCTAGGAAGTCAGGAGCAATTATGAAACTAGATCCAAGGCCCCATGTTCATTCATTTAATGAACACATTTGTTTTTTATTAGAATATCTCCCCAGAATTCCCTTATCATGTCTGTCTCCCCTCCTGGGCCTTTCCCCCAAAACCATCAATTAGGATCGCAAACACTGAGATCAAAGGAATGTTTATTACAGCACTTATGGCCTACCTCCTCCATAAGTAAAATCTGTAGTGGAAAGTAGGACCATGACAGATACGGGAAAGAGAATAGTAGGAAGGCTCAGGGATTAGTACCCTCATCGAACTCAGCCCCCCTCCCCCGCTCCCTTTCAGGTGTACTAACAAGGTGCCTGGGACTCCCACTGGAGAGGACGCAGTAAGACCCCTGCTACAGGATCTCAGAATTTAGGAAGGCAGCGGCGGGCTGGGGGATTGTTGCAGGTTCAGCCTATGACCCAGGTCCAAAAGTTCCAGCCTTCTCTGCCACCTCCAGGGCTAACTTCAGGTTCTGTTCAAACAGCTCACACCTACACCAGGCCCAGGAGGCACATGTAAGGACAAAGTGCGAGGCTAAGGCTCTCCCCCCACTTTGGGTGCAGAGGCAGAGCCAGTGAAGTGCCTGCTTGAAGGACATACTTTCCAAGGAAAAGTCATTGGTTTCTTAAATAAGTAAAAGGCTACTCACTCGTTTTATTTTTAAAAAGCCCTATTATACTTCAAAGTGACTTTGGAGAAGAGCACACAGGTTGGGGCAAGAACTTGATCTGGGGAGTGGGACTACCTACCTGATGGGCATTTCCAGGGAGTAGAATGGATTCTTGAGGGCAAAGTCTGAGTAAATCTCATAAATCTTTCGGAGTAGAGAGTCTATTCCAGCTTGCCTAGGGTCTGCCAGCACCACAAACTTGATTCCTGGAGAGGGGCCAGGAATGGTTACCAAAGGGTAGAGAAGGCACAAACGTCATCCTGTGTTTGTATAGCACTTCAGTTTTGCAAAGCACTTTCATCAGCCCATTTTCGTTTTATCCCTAATTGCTCCACAGAGCAGAAAGGCAAGATTTTAAATCCATAAGTGAGACCAAGAGTTGAAGTGACTTTATCACATCACTCAGCTGACTGAGATGAGGCTTTGAGTTTTAGCTCTATCACTTACTTCTGGAATTGGGGGTCCCTCAGCAGAAAGTGCCAGGCAGGGGACAAACTCAGGCAATTTTCAATTATCTGCATTAAAAGGGAGTGAAGCAATGGAACTCATGATCCAAAGGTCACCACTTGGCATTCAAATTTCATTTTGAAACAACACTTACACCTTCCAAAATGTGTGCACCATGAGATAACATTAAGGTGAGTTTTACGTGTGCACAAGATAACCAGGGCTGAGCATACTGGGTGGTGTGGACAAAATCAGCGTCAGATTAAATATTAACTAGCTTTGGATTCACAAAACAAACAAACAGATGTGTCCATGCCACTGCCCCAGGAAAAGCCACCCCCATCCCACTGCTTCCCAAAGCTTTGGTCAATCCCTTCCCCAACCCATCCCACTGCATCCCCTTGGCCTATCTGGAGACGCATACCTGTCAGGGTCTGGAAGCAGTGCAGCTTGAATGTGTCTGTCTCCAGCATCTCAATGCCTGAGCTGCCCTGTTCAGGAGACAGCTGGGAGCCGATTGCGAACAGCCTATTTGCAAAGGAGGCAAAGCTGGGGATGCACCCACTGCTGTCAGGGAGGAGTGCTTCCCCAAACCTCCCACTGAAGTGATCCTCTCTGCTGAGGAGTTCACATTACAGCTGAAGGTAGGCAGAACGGGCCGCGGGAACAAAATTTCTTTAAAGTTCACTCGAATTCTGCAAGGATTTTACAGCAAGTCCTCAAATAACATCGTTTATTTTAACTGATGAGATGCTGTAGGAACTTTTGTTCATATCAATTGACCTGTGGCAAAACAGGTTTCATGATACAATTGACACTTAAACAACATGGGTTTGAACTGTGCAGGTCCACTTATACACCATTTTTCCCAAAAAATATATAGTCGGCCTTCCTATCCCAGGGTTTCAAATACAAGGATTCAACCACCTCTGGATCAAAAATAGTATTTTCAATCCATAGTAGGGGATTCCTGGATGTAGAGGGCCAACTGTCTGCATTGTTGTATGCTGTTTTATTTATTGATTTATTTTTAGAGAGAGGGAGGGATGGAGAAAAAAACATTGATTTGTTCCAGTTATTTATGCAATCACTGGTTGATTTTTGTATGTGCCCTGATGGGGATCGAACCTTCAATCTTGGCATCTGGGCGATGCTCTAACCAACTGAGCTACCCAGCCAGGGCCTGTTCTACCCGATTTTATACAAGGGACTAGAGAATTCACAGATTTTGGTGTCTGCAGGGGTCCTGAACCAATCCCCTGCCGACACCAAGGGATGACAGTAGTTGTTTTGGAAGTCAAAAGTTATTTGTGTCGGGCTCACACCCCTAAACCCCTGTGGTTCAAGGTCAACTGTACCTCCTTTTGCTTACTGCTGCAGAACCCACTGAGGAGGTTAAGTGAGGACTTATTGTATATCCATACTTTGCTATACAACATTTTACATTAAGAACTTTGGGTAGAGTTAACACTGGGGCCCACCATGTGACTCAATGGTTGAGCGTGGACCTATGAACCAGGAGGTCAGGGTTCCATTCCAGGTCAGAGCACATGCCGGGGTTGTGGGTTCCATCCCCAGTAGGAGGCGTGCAGGAGACAGCCCATCAATGATTCTCTCTCATCATTGATGTTTCTACTAGTATCTCTCTCTCCCTCTCCCTTCCTCTCTGAAATCAATTAAACTTAACAATGGGAATGTTACTTACCCCGAGGCTAGCATACCCACCACAGCTCATACTGTGGTTGAGAACAGAAAAAGATCCTAAAAATCTTTTAGATCAACTGCCTTACTATGAACATGGCGAAATTGAGGTTCAGAGAAGCTGACTTAAGCGACAGCACACCAATGCCAGTACCACCTAAAACCTGGCCGAACTGAATCAGTTGCTCTTTTCCTAACACAAGAATCAACGACTTAAAAGTAGAGAAAGGTAAGCACTGCCGCTCAGGAGACCGCCTGCCCACGGAGCAACACCAACCCGCCAGCCTAAGAGCCCAGGGCAGGGTAGGAGGACTTACGAATGGAACATGGAGGCCAACATGAGCTTCTCATTGGAGGTGAGGCGGGGCCGGCCGAATCGCACGGACACGGGGTAGTTGGCAGGGTTGCCGAGGTACTCCAGCACCTCTTTGCCATCGGCCGTGTACTTGCCGTTCACGTCCTTGCCATTGATGGCCAGCACTGCGTGGCCCACTGCAGAGGAGCGGCGAGGGTCAACGAAGCCCCATCCCGTGGGTTCCGCCAAGGGAACAGGGACGCGACCCCAACCCCAGGCCACCGCCGCGGGACCCCTCCCGAGCCCAGCCCCAGGCCA